GTCCTATCTTATTTCTGTCACAAACTGGAACGACAGAAGAAAACAAGACAATTACTGCTGCTTGTCTTTCTAAAATTAATAATATAACATCTAAACTTTCAGTTAAGATTCTGGACACACTATTTTTTTTTTAATTGAGAGGACAAATAAACACTCATTTGTTTGTTTATTGAAGTATAGTCATTGTAATGTATCAATTTCTGGAGTACATCACAATGTCCCAGTTATGCATATGCATATATTTGTTTTCATATTCTTTTTCATCAGAAGTTATTACAAGATATTGAATATAGTTCCCTGTGTTATACAGAAGAAAATTTTCTTTAATCTATATTTATATATAGTGGATAAGATTTGCAAATCTCAAGCTCCTAAATTTATCTCTTCCCACCCCTTTCCCCTGGTAACCATAAGATTATTTACTATGTCTGCGAGTCTGTTTCTGTTTTTTAGATGTTGCTGCAAATGGCATTATTTTATTCTTTTTTATGGCTGAGTAGTATTCCATTTTATAAATATACCACAATTTCTTTATCCAGTCATCTGTCACTGAACATTTAGGTTGCTTCCATGTCTTTGCTATTGTGTATAGTGCTGCTATGAACATTGGGTGGACACACTATCTTTAGTGAAGTTTTGAAAGTTACGCTGTGTAAATTATTTTTGCAAGCTCTTGCTTCGAAGATGCAACTATTTAAATAAAACATTTTCATGTTTATGTTGTCTATATTTGTCTTATAACTCTTGGATAGACTTGAAAACATCAAAAACAGTTTCTCTGCAATAGTGTCCCTGAGCATAATGATTGCAGTTGAAAAAGAGGAGGGCCTTTGGGTTGAAGTCCTGCCTCTGTTACTAATTATGGGATCTAGGGAAAATTAATTTACCCCCCTAAGCCTCAGATTCTACGTTTCTAAAACTAAGGGCATAAAACTTACTGCTAGGGTCATTTTTGCTAGGGTTAAATAATAAACTATGTTAAGTGTAGTACTTAATACCTCATTAAAAGGTAGCTGTAGATAGGTATGTTTTAACTTACAAAACTGCCCTTTTATTCATGTAAGAACACTGACATGAATGTAAACCACTCTTAAAAATTATTTCCTGCTTAAATCGCATATACAGTTTGTCCTTTCGTCTTGGTTGCTACATCTGTAAAATGGGATATGGAGATGTCAATAATTAGAATTGTTTTGAGATAATTTTATGGGTTCTTTAATAATTATTTAATGATTATCTGAGCACTGTATTATCTGGTTCCTTGGTCCCTTGTACCTTATAAAATTAAAACATTTTGCCTAAAATAAAAATTCAAAATATATTAGAAACTTGACAGTTTGTTACTCTGGAGCAGATTTTTGAAAGAGCTCTATCGTGTCTAGTGGGGTCTGGAACTCTGTGTTTTTAGCAATTACTCTGGTGATTCTGATGCTGCTGGACTGAGTACCAACCTTTGAGAAACGTGCCTGAGTGTGGTGGCTTCTAACGTACAGTGTGCACAGCTTAGGTTATCTGGTAGAAGATGCTGGAAACTCCACTGATAGTTTGTCTAAAGCAAATTCATCTCCACTCACATTTAGTATACTGGAGGTTTCATTAGGTCTGCATGTCGGATTGCCACCTGTCACAGACTTTGACAGATGCTCTAAAAGAAGTGAATAGAGTGGGAGTTTGCAAGCAAGGGGAGCTGCCGCTGGAGCTCTCCTTCCTTTCCTTTAAGTGGGACATGATTTTTGTGCCTGGTAAATGCTTATATAACCCCAAAACTATTTTTGCAACATGGAAAAGTGGGTTAGAAAACTCCAAATTCCCTACAGTGAAGGTGAAGACAGTAATTCAAGCACAAATAGCCAACAGAAAACAGCAAAATTGATGCTTGTAGTATGAGGTTATAGCCATAATGTAAGTAAAAGCTAAGACCATCTAATCAGCTCCAACAAATCTCCCCAGATTAGAAATGAGCATGAAGATTATATGAAATATGGGATTTAGATCCAGGATAGTTAATGATGAAACTTGCCCTCTCTGGGCAAGTATCTTTGTATTTTGGGGGTCTTTGAGAGATTAATGGTAGTATAAAGCCATAAAAGCAGTTAGACATTTAAAAATAAATTGTTTATAAATTTTTAAGAAAAATCTTTTCTTGGAGAGTTAAGAGAAACATTTAAAAATTATTTTATCATAACTTTTAAAAATCCATGAATCCCACCCCTCTGGAGCCCTAAAGATTTCCCTGCACCCTGAGTTGTGTTATCTCTTTACTCTCTTCTACTCAAAAAAAATATGTTGCCAAAAAATAGTTATTCTGTGAAGCAAGCACGTCTTCAGTTCCAAGAACAAACCATTTTGTGGGGGAGACGTGGCGGTGGGAGGTGGTCAATACATTACAGCTAACATCTTGTGTTTCACAACTGACCAAAAATCAACCCTCCAAATAGAATTTTATGTTTTGTATTACAAGTGGAAGGCTGGCCCCTTTTCTTTTCCTTTTTGGTGACTTGCCTCTAATTACTGTATGAGAATACTTTCACCATATGACATAAGACTGAACTTTTTATTGAATTTTTATCACTGTAGCATGAATAATGCATTCAGTCTTCAAATGTCACAGTGAACATCAAATGGTTTTACATAATGTCTTCTTGATAGAGTTTTAAGAAGCCAGCAAGCCAGGGATGCAGCAGAGAAGACAAAAGTTTGGAAGGAAATTTGATACAAATTTGTCATTTACCCAGGAGGGATAAAATAAGTAGCAGAAGAATAGCTGGAAAGGAAAGACTGAGAAATGAAGATGTATTTTTTTTTAAACTAAAAATAGGAAGAAAAAAAAAAAAGCCAAACTAGCACACGTGCCACTGGGGACAGAGTAGGGAAAGAAACAGAAGGTAGACAAAAACAACTGGTCTGGGTGGGGCAGTGGGGAGGGAAATTAGGAACCTCAGAAAGTATAGGAATTGAATTTGAAACCGTAGTAAAATGGTATTACATTTTGGAACCATAAAAAAGTTAACCATTTTCAAGGACTTTGGGAACACTTTCAATGTTTTCTGATTGAGAAATCTTAAATGAAATGCAACAGCTATTAGCATTCTACCTTATTCTGCTTATTAGTTGATGGGTGTACTCAGCCTTCCAGCATCCCTTTCTCTTAGGTTTTGAGATAGACCACATCATGCTAATCCAGCCAGATGAAATGTTCAACCCTCTTTTGGAAAATGCTGTTGTCTACCCAATAGCTGTTCTCCTGCTTTTTCTTGCTAGTAAACCCAAATTTTATTTTTCTCCAGATAGAATGTAGTCTATCAAGATCTCATCATCTCAGGGGGGATGGGCCTCATGCCAGCCCCACTAGCCTACAGTAGTCATGGTAATTCTACCCTCTTTAGGTCTGGGGTACGTATGTTTAAGAGTTTTCTATTGCTGCTATAACAAATTATCACAAACTTGTTTGTTATTCCATAGTTCTGTAGGCCAGACGTTTGGGCTGGCTTGCTTGGTTTCTCTGCTCTGCATTTCATAAGAAACAGAATCAAGGTGTTGACCGGCTGGGCTCTTATCAGAATGTTCTGCTTCCACATTTTTTCAGGTTGCTAGCAAAATCCAGTTCCTTGTGGTTGCAGGACTGAGGTCCCCCTTTCCCTGTTGGTTATCAGTTGGGGGCTGCCCCTAGCTCCTAGGAGGCTCTCTCCAGTCTTTGCACATTGATCATTACTTCTCAGAGGCAGCAAGAGTGTGGTGAATCCTTCACATTTGGAAACTTTCTGACTTCTTCAAGCAGAAAGAGGGCTTCCATTGGAAGCTTCATTTCCTATGTGAAAAGTTAGAGATTCTGCTCCTTTTTCGCAGCTAGAGACACTAGTGGGGGGACAAGATGTTTGGAGTGGCAGCAGCTACCTTGTAACCAGGAAACATCAAGAATGAGCATAAGTACCTCCATTAAAAAAAGAGTAATAAAAAAATAAATAAGAGAGGGAGGGTACAGCTCAGTGGTAGAGCACCTGCTTAGCATGCAAGAGGTCCTAGGTTCGATTCCCAGTATCTCCATTAAAAAATAACAAATACATTAAACTAATCCCCCCCACCAAAGAAAAAAACCCAAACAACAAAAACCTAAAAAAAAAAAAAATGAGGATAAAAGTCAACACACCAAGGATGGTAGAGCAGAAGACTATAAAGCACCTGGGTTCTCCTGATGCCATTTTTGAATAGTAGAACGAATGCCAGTGATTGCTTTTGTCTGGATGGCTTGTCATTTGAGGAAAAATAACTATTTGTTTATAATCAGTCAGTTCAGTTTTCTGTGACTGGCAACCAAAAGCGATTTTAAGTGACATGCTGCTCCCAGCCCTAATTTCGGGAACTCTGTTGTGGGACAGAGCTTTACTCTTCAACACTTTAAAATGTAGTGTTGGCTAATCTGATTAAATTCATCATACTGCAATTCATAATAAATGTCTTCAGTGGTGTTGCCAATCTTAGCTTCATCATGAGACTATTCAAAGAATTACAGAGTCCATGAAGGGGGTCCAGGGGTCACCAAACTATAGCCCATGAGACGAATCCTGCTGGCATAAGCAAGAGGAACTAAGGTCTTCAACATTTCAAAGGGTAGTGAACCACCCCACCTGCCCCTACCAAAAAAAAAAAAAAAAAAAAAAAGGCCCCTAGGCCTACAGAACAGAATTGGGTAATCGTCTGTCATACGGCACAGCCCATCGTTTCTGTCCTGCCTCCCTTAACAGTATTCCGCACATCTGTCACTCCGGTATTCACCGTCCCCCTGGCACGTTCATGCATATTCATTTCCCTCTTGTCCATGCGACGTCATCTTTCAGAATCCAGGGTCCTCTCCCGTTCCTCTAATACAGACTCAGAAGGAATGATGTACAAAACCCAAGGGGGAGGGGGGCATTACTCAGGGACCAAGGGACCGTGTCCATTCGCGGAGCTTCCCCAAATAAATTGCACTCCCCAAAAGACAACCGAATTTTCGCTGTATCGGAGAGCCCGTTACTGCTCAAAGACTCCAGGCGGAGGAATAGTCTTCACAGCGCTGTGCGAGGCGAAGGGGATTGTGGGAGCACCGTTCGTCGCCCCGCAGACTCATGGGAAATGTAGTGCAGTTTCCTCCAACATGGCTGCGCCCAGGTGAGTGGACGTGCGAGTACCCACCGCGGCTTTTCTGGGATAGAGCGGGAGAGGCTGGCGAAGGAGAGAGCGCCCGCGTGGGGAGAACCCAGCCTGAGCCAAGGCGGAGGTTTGTGGCGCTTCTTATTGGCGGGCATGATGACCGCAAATCGCCGCTTTCTCTTGTTGGCCTCTTCCCGGCTCCTCCGTCTGCCTTGTGGGCTTGGGACCTCGCCGGGGAGGGGAGGTGTGGCCCGTGGGCAGTCGCGTGTCGGTGCGTGGGATGGCGCGGTCACAGGCTGAGGCCTGTGTTTGTGTTTGGTGCGGGGGCTCGTGTGGTGTCTGCCAGTCTTCTGCTTCTTTGGCGGTGGAAGACCTGGGGAGTGTTAGTCCGCGGTGTTGGATTCACAGGTTTTTCTGACCCGTGTCAATCCACTGAAGAAAGGGTGTTGCTGGCGACCTGGTAGCTCACAAAACTGAGTCTTACCATGCTCTTTTTTGAGTAATCACCGATACCTCTCGACCTCTGGTAGTGGGAGTCTCTGGTTTTGGTTGATTTCATTTAAGAAATATTTACTGAAAACTGCTGAATGCCAGGCACTCAAGTTCTGTGCCCTCAAGTAGGTGACAGCCTTCTGGGTGAGCCCAGCACACAAACGAGTAATTATAATACAGTGGGAAAATTGCAGAGATAGAGATACACATCAGATATTAATGAAAAGATTGAAGAGGGCCACCAAATTCAGAATTCTGGAGAAGAGATTTCGGAGGGAAGATGGCAAGTTTAGTAAGGTTAGGCTTACTCAGTAAGCGTTTATGGAGTGACTGCTAGGTGCTGAGTGCTGCAGGGTGAATCATGCAGACAAAAATCTCTACTTTCCTAGAGCTTGCTTTCTAGTTATTAAAGGAGGAAGACAGCAAACACCTTAATGAGGGCATTAGAAACTAGAGTAGGTGTTCTTCAAAGAATTAAAATGAGGTAATATGACAAGTGATGGGGTCAATATTTTCTAATCATTTAAACTTTTAATTTTCTTTTTAAATAGGTAATGTAATTTGAATAGCTACTAAACTCAAAAGTTATAAGAGAGGAGCTTTTGCTTTTCTCATTTCTGTACCAGTCTACCCACTTTCCCTTCCTGGAGGCAACCCATATCACTAATTTCTTGTATGTCCTAGAAATTTGTTTGTATCTTGTACTGTGCGTTAAAGTCAGACCTTATTTGACAGGAATTTAATTTGTTTCCGATCTTTGGTATTAATTAATTAATGCACAAGCACAGGGACATTTGTCTATACTGCTTGGTTCATTAAAGGCTGTTATTCAAGGAGAGCATGGACACACATATTGCTATTCCCATACAGGGCAATATCCAACAGGTTATATTGGCGTTAAACTTACTAGCAGAGCAGATGTGATTTCTAAACTCTTATTACCCTGTGGAGAGTGTGCTTAGGCTGGACTCAGCTCAGCTAGCATTCTAATAGTGAGTGACCTTGCTCCTGTGTAACATTCCTTAACACTCCCGTCACATGGCAAGGAGCACCCAAGCCTTTGTGCGGTAGTGGAAATTCCTTGGCCAGAGAAGTGGCCTTGTTAGAGGGGCACCTCCAGACCTCAGCAGCTGGTATCAGCCTATGCCTTGTTGCGGTGACTCAGACTTGTCCTTCTTCCCTTGTAGTAATCTTGCGAGGGAAGGGAAAGGAAATGACACAAATGTGATTATGAGGCTCCATCTGCTGGCGCTGGACTCTGTCAGACTTCTAAAATAGTGTGTTCAGCATGTGTTCTTTCTCATTTCTTCCACTTTGCAATCTTTGCTCATGTGACATACTAAGAAAAAAATTCTTAGTAGATTCATCCCTTGTTCTCCATTGCATACTACAAACAGGATGATCTTGGAATGGAATGGCAATAAGATAATTCCTTTGAGGCCCCTCAGTTTTTCTTTGTCTTCTTAAACCATTCTCATCTGGCTCTTCTGGAAATTAACAGTAATTTAGTAATAGATATATTAAACCTTTTAACAAAGTTAAACGGTGTCAAAGAGTAACACAGCCAGACATTAATTAAAGCAGTGAAAACAGCTTTTATTTGGTAATGCTGACAGTAGGGGAAAGAGCTAAGCTCTGTTCAGATTTATACAGAAGTGATTTGAGTGTTTTAAATTGCGAATGAGTTAGAGGGGATGATGTGGGGGGTGCTGCTCAGTAGAAGTAAAAAATTATAAAGAGTTGCAATCAGACCAGCTGTGTTTGCTAGCTGGCAGTTATCAACGTTAGGATTCCATCCTGCTACAGAGACTGAGAGACAGGTGCTGTGCTTTCCGATTATATTTCAAAGGCATGGCTCTCAGGTCCTTGAGAAAGACAGTGCTGAGTGGCAAGAGATACATATTCACAATTGTAAGCCATTTTTATTGTTTTTTTTGGAGGGAGGAGGAATAAGGTTCATTTATTTATTTAATGGAGGTACTGGGGATTGAACCCAAGACCTGATACATGCTAAGCATGTGCTGTACCACTGAGCTGTATATACCCTTCCCCTCTGTAAGCCATTTTTAGTTAAGTGCTTTAAGAAAGGGAGGTCAGGGGCCTATTGTTAGTAGTTGTTAGAACACATAGTTAAGTTTCCTGACAGTATTTTAAGTTTTCTCAGGCTGGCATTTTAATGGGGAGCTGGGGTCATCCTAGGACATGGCTTTGTGCTGCTGTAAGCCAGGCTAGAGTTTGGTAAAGTGTTTTAGCGCAGGGTTTGGATGGAGTTATGTGCCAAGAAGAGGCATTATTAGTCCTATTTTTCAGGTGAAGAAACCTAAGCACAGAAATAAGTAAGTAACTCAGGGTCATATAGGTAGTAAATAGTAGAGCTGAGATTTGAACCTAGAACCTGGACTCAGAGCACTGATGGAGGTTCTGGGGAAACAAAGATACGGTTTAATTCCTGTCATCAAAGAGCTCATAGTCCAGTGGAAGGGGACAAGCATTAGAACAAATAACTATAATTAGTGCAATGTTAAAAATATATTCAACTTTCTCCTTCCCGTCCAGTGATGACTCCCAGAGCTTTCCCTCTAACCTCATTCCTTCTCCTTTTGCTGCTTTATATTTTCACCTGCCAGCCAGCCAAAGCGACTGTGTATCTTACCGGTACTTCACACATGTTGTATCCTAAGTCTGACTCATCACTTCCCTTCCTGAGCAACTCTTCCTGACCTTCTGACGTTCTAGTTTCAGAATGACGTCGCTAGCCTCTCAGTCACTCAGGCTCTGTCCTTTTTATGAGCTCTGATTCTTCTCTCCCTCATATCTGAGTAGTCATCAAGGCCTGTTGATTATACCTGAACTTTCCTTTTGCCCTCTTCCCCTCTTTCCCTGTTTCCTTTCTTCCTGCAGCCCTCACCCAAGATCAGGCCAGCATTTCTACTTGCTAAGCTGGATTATTACAAGTCTGTTTGCCTCTCACTTGCCTGTTGTGCTGTCCAGCCAGCCTGTTTTACTGGCCTTACTTTCTATCACATGTGGCCCATATATTAGTTAAGCTGGATTGCTGGCCATTCTTTCAATAGTCTCAGCATTTTTCTTTTACAAATAAAGATCAATAGTTAGAATTTTGACTGTTTAAGAGCTGTTTTAGAATATGTTTAACTTCTTAAATGTTTTTTGTTTGCTGAGTTTTGAAGACTTTCACGTGGGGAAGAGTAGGATCAGTGGATCCTCCGACATTCTCTGCTCTAGAAAATTACGTCTGCTTCTTACTGTCCTTGCGTGACACATCTGAGACAGGAGGGAAGGGAGCAGGGCACAATCATTAAAGGAATGACACAGCAGTTAGCACCAGGGCGGCGGAAGATTTGACTTCCAGTAGACCTTGAGCTTTATTATATGCTCACTGTAATATATTACCATGGTGAATGGCACTTTCACAGGCGCCATGACAGTTCCGAGGCTGACCATAAAAGATCAAAAACTGGGCGGTGGCCCAGTCCCTGGGAATCCCAGTCCCTGGGAATCCCAGTCCCTTCCCCAAAATAGTTGGAATAATCTTCCCACTTGTTAGCATATGAAGTTACTGAGCCTGTAAAAACTAACAGTCCTGCATCTTGTGCCTTTTCTTGTGCCTTCTGAGATGGCCCACACTCTGTGGAGTGTGTATCTACTTTTGCTTTAAATACCCACCCCTATCCCTCATGGCCTCTCCGGCCTTCTGAGATGGCCTACACTTGGTCTATGGAGTGTGCATCTCTCTGAATAAACCTACTTTTACTCAACTGTGGCTCGCTCTTGAGTTATTTCCTGTGTGAAGCCAAGGACCCTCACTTGGCGGGGTGCATCCCAGGGACTCAGCTGAGACCTGGGACACAGCCACCTTCTTACACCCCATTTTTCCTGTATCATATCCATTTTCATTTTTAGCTTCTGCTCTTTATTTGTTGCCTCACTGGGTACCCTCCCTTCCTTAGGACTCTGTACTCTTCTTTGGTACTCAGCTCAAGTTCTTTTCTG